AAAGCTGTGAATAAGAAATCCAAAGGTGAGTAAAAACCACTGGATTTCGACTGCCTCATCCGAACTGATAGATGCTAGAAGACTTATTCCGGCGAGCTCCGAATTCAATGAGGAGCGAAAGCTGCACAAAAGGAAACTTACTAAAAGTCTCCGCAAGGACCGTGAACAGTGGTGGGTGACAAAAGGCAAAGAGATGGAAAAAGCATTGGCGATAGGCAACACTAGGCAACTCTTTAGACTCATCAGAATCGGGGGGAGAAGGCAAATCATAAGTGAGACTATTTCTGAGAAAAATGGCTCCTTAATTAGCTCTCAGGATAGACGCCTTGAACGCTGGAAAGAACACTTTGAGGACAATTTAACTTGCCTACAGCCACACTGAACCTCCCCGCATCCACACACACCCGAATGGGATATAGACACTGGTCCGCCGTCTGTAGTGAGGTCACAAAAGCTATCAGTAATTTGAAACGAGGCAAAGCGGCAGGACCCGACGGAATTATTCCGGAGGTGTTTAAATATGGGGGTGACATACTAGTTTGTAGATTAACTGAGGTACTAGGCAAAGTCTGGGAATCAGAGACAGTGCCATCAGACTGGGGTAAGTCACTTATTATACCGATATTCAAGAAGGGAAACAAGTCCTCGTGTGATAATCATAGGGGGATCAGCCTAACGAACATAGTCTCTAAAATCCTAGGCTCAGTAATCATGCATAGACTAAGCAGAACTCGGGAGGAACAGACAAGGGAAAATCAAGCAGGCTTTAGACCAGGTAGAGGGTGCATAGATCATATCTTCACTCTTCGACAGATTCTAGAACATAGACACACTTTTCGGCGTCCAACAATTGTCATATTTCTTGACTTGAAGGCGGCCTTCGACTCCGTGGATCGAAAGGTACTATGGCAATGTCTGACTGTGAAGGGAGTGCCAAGAAAGTACATTGCACTAATCAAGGCACTCTATTCAAACTCACGTAGTCGTGTAAGGGCTTATGGGGAATTGTCATCTGAATTGGTAACAACCAGTGGTGTCCGACAGGGATGTCCACTTTCCCCATTTCTGTTTAACTTCATCATAGATATGCTGATGGAAGTATCCTTAACTGAACGTAATGACTTAGGAATCGACTTGTTACCAGGGAATAGTCTTATGGACTTAGAATATGCAGATGACATAGTCCTGTTAGGGGAGGATGCTGACAAAATGCAGAGTCTTCTGAACACCTTGAGCAGCAATCTTCGTATGTTTGGCATGCGATTCGCCCCTGCAAAATGTAAGATGCTGCTACAGGACTGGACTACGTCAACCCTAACTTAGTGATAGGGAGTGAAGTGATAGAACATGTTGACCACTTCACCTATTTGGGAAGTTGTATTAGCACCAACGGACTGATTGGCGATGAAATCTCAGCACGGATCCGAAAAGCTCGAGCTGCTTTCGCTGACTTACACCATCTCTGGCGTAGGCGTGACATCCGGTTATCAACCAAGGGACGTGTGTACTGCTCATCAGTTCGCTCCGTCCTTCTCTATGGCTCTGAAACATGGCCAATACGCGTTGAAGACATGAAAAGGTTGACTGCTTTCGATCATAGATGTCTGCGATCTCTGTCTCACGTTAGGTGGTTTCACAAGATAAGTAATGTTGACGTTAGGCGTAGAGTGTTGGGCAAAGAGGGAAAATCAATCGACGAGGCTATAAAGTTACATAGACTAAGATGGCTAGGTCACGTGGTGCGCATGCCTAACCACCGCCTCCCCCGACGGGCATTGCTAGCTGATATAGGTTCAGGTTGGAAAAGAGCCAGTGGTGGCCAAACAAAAACATGGCATCAATCCATGAAATCCTTGACAGTTAAACTGAGTCAGGTAGGGAGATGCAGACTTCCGGGTTGGGGCCCTCGGGACTCTAGGAATCAATGGCTGGAGACAATAGGTGACATGGCTCAAAATCGTTGTCAATGGCCAGCGCAGATGTATTCAGTCTCTGTAATCTTTCATATTCCTTTCTACCATTACCCATTCTGTTTCACTCTTATACTTGTCAAACTCTATTGATTCTCTTCACTCATCTTCTTGTCTACCTCTGTGTGCTATTTGGAACGTGGCAACTCGAACTGCTGCACTTCGGTGCCAAGTTCTATGTTGAATCCAGACATTTTTCTCTTGACCTGAAAGCGGCATTGGATTCTGTCGACCGAGAGGTACAATAGCGATGTTTAGCTGTGAAAGGATTGCCAAGGAAATACATTTCACTGATCAAGGCACTCTACTCGAACTCATGCAACCAGGTGAACGCTTACGGCTAGTTGTCATCTAAAGTGGTAATAACCAGTGGTATCCATCAGCGATTCCCACTGTCTGCATTTCTGTTTACTCTCATCATAGATGTTCTAATAGAATCAACCCTAACTGGCTTTAGATTCTCAGGAATTGACTTGTTACTGGATGGTAATCTCGATGAAATATATCATGCGGATGATATCGTCCTTCTAGATGAAGACGCTGATGGAATGCAGAGCCTTCCGAACACCCTGAGCAGCAATCTTCAAATGTTTGGCATGCAATTTGCTCCCGTCAAAGGTAAGATGATGCTACACGACTGGACTATATTGACCCCTAGCTTAAAGAGACAGGGAAGTGAAATGGTAGAGCGTGCTAACACTTCACTTATTTGAGAAGTGGCATTACCCCAGATGGTTGATAGCTGGAGTCCGATACAGAAGGCTTATCTGGCATTTGCTGATTTACACCATTCCCAGTGTAGACGCAACATCCGGCTGTCGTTCAAAGGACGTGTATACTGCTCAGTAGTTTGCTCCATCCTGCTTTATGGTTCTGAGACCTAGCCATTGAGGGTGGAAGACATGGAAAAGCCAACCATCTTTGATCACAGGTGCCTGAGTTTTATCTCCCGTGTTAGGTGGTATAAAAAGGGTGAGCGATATTGAGATCGGGTATCGAGTGCTAGAGAACGAATGAAAGTTAATCGACGAGGTTTTGAAGTTGAGTCGATTAAGATAGTTAGGACATGTGTTACTCATGCCTAGCCATCGTCTTCCTTAACAATGGGCAAGGTTAGCTGACATAAGATCAGGTTCGAAAAGAGGTAGTGGTAGTGGTGGTCAAACCAAAACATGGCCTCATCAGTCAATCAAATCGATAACAGTTAGTTTAAGCCAGCCACGTCGGGAGGTGTGGACTTCCTGTTTGGGGTCCTCGGGATGGTAAGAACCAATGAAGGATAGAGACAATTGGTGATATGGCTCAAATTTGTTCTCAATGAATAGCGCAGATCCACTCACTCTTTGTGATTAGTCGTGTCCAACAAAAGCCTGTTGTTTTCCGTGTTACTATTATTTCTCCCTTACATTTCTGCTTGTAATTGTTCTCTGGAATCTCTCATTTTCTACGTTTTGTCTTTCTTTGTATGTTAAGTGGAGTGTGAGAACTCGAGTTGTGCTGCACTTATGTCCAAATTTCCATGTTGACATCAGTCATTCCGGTGAACACTAATGGTCAGTTTCGTTGGACATCATGACTTCTCTATAAGAATCTGTATCATATATAATGATAGCTCTTTACTTTTTACTTTGATTTCTCCTCTATTCACTCAGCGTGGTACAAATCTCTAACAACACATACAGAATAAATAATCGCAGTAAAGGAATCTCAAATATTTAGTATAAAACAAATGAAGTTGATCGAAGAGAAAAGAACGCCACATTGAGAGGAGGTCGAATATCAAACCATATCCACTATATTTCACACCCACAAGACGACTAACCGAGTTAGACTCAGATAAAGTAGAACGTGGTCAGTACACATAGGTATTCCATCTACTTAACTTTCAGCCGCATTGCGTTCCGTTCTCCGCCAACGTTTTCACCTGGCCCCACGTTTTCCCACATGCTTTCATCTCCTCTTCACATGACCTCCTCCATGTCACCCTCGGACGACCAGCTCATCACTTCGCATTAGGGTTCCACTCGAGAGCGCTTCATGTGATGTCACTTGGTGGTTTTCTAAGAGTATGGCCAATCCACCTCCATTTCTTCCTGCATATTTGTTGCACAATCGGTTCCTACTGGGCTGGTTCGGTCACAGAGACCCCACCTTGTTGCTGGTCTTTTCTCGCCACCTGATCTTGAGTATTAAACTAAGACAGCTGTTGATGAACGTGTGTTGTTTGTTCGAAATGCCTTTCATTACACGCCAAGTTTGCGATCCGCATAGTAAGTAGCCCTAACTTTACATTGGGGTTGAAAATCCGGATCTTATTTTTCATGCTGAGTGCTGTTGATCTCCACACAGACTTGAGAGTAATGAAAGTTCTCCTTGCTGTGATATCCTTTTCAGTTCCATCCGCCTGCTTTTCAAGTCGGTAGGTAAAGGAGGTTGCTTCTTTCAGACTTCTCGAATTTATGCTGGTTGTTGTCTGTTGCTGCTGCTGTCGGCCAGGAATCTTGATCACCTCTGTTTTCTCTATCTTCACCTGCAGTCCTATCTTCCCTGGATGCTTCTTCTGCCAACATGTTTCTTTTCACTTGCATATCTTCCAGTTTATGTCAGATCAGACATATGTCATCAGTGAAGTCCAGATCCTGCAAGTATTTTGTGTGGGTACATTTTATGCCTGTTTCCACGTTGCCCAGTGCGTTTCTGTCACATTATCCAGTCTACTGCAGTCAGGAAAATCATTGGAGATAGTATGCAGCTACTCAGCCTTGTCTTACTCCCGGGTGACGATATCTGCTGTTTATGTCAGGCAAAATCACAGCCGTAAAAACAACACAATCTGAGCTTCTAAATAATCTCCACCACTAGTCTCCTTTTTTTCTCTAAAATTTTTAGTTTTAAAATCTTTCTTAATCAGGATGCTTAACGAATGGTATAGCGTCATCATACAGCTAGTTATACATTAAAAACATATTTCTAAAAAAATTGGAATAATGTAACTCAAATAATATAATTAATTAGTAGTACACCACTTACCTGATATTGAACGGTGTTTGAGAATACCTTTCAATACTGGCGCTGTTAGACAATCGATTTGTTCTGAATTACTAGGCGTGGAATTACACCGTAGACGTCTACTAGTAGTAGGCACACCATTACTCTTATTAACTTGATTATTTAATCCAACAGAAGATGACTGGTTGATATTCGATAGTGGATTATCTTTTAAGATAGTATTATTGTTTTCAATAACATCATTATTTTCAGATTTATCATTGGTATTCCATTCGATAGAACAACAGTCATTTGATAGAGAAGTGACACGAAGCGAATTCAACTGTTGGTGATTAATCATCCCTGGGTTTGTATTGTATGATTGTGGTTTAGAGGATATATTATTATTATTATTCACTGTAGTCTCACTTTTAGTACACACATTGGGATACGTTACATTAGGCATATGTGAATTAGAATAGGATGTAGCATTATTATAATTGACAAAGGGTGATAAAACTTCCTTTACAATAAATGAACCCTGTTTAATTTTTAATGAAGAAAAATTACCAGAAAAATTAACAATGATTTAACTGATGGGTTCAAAAATGAAACAGGCAACAACAAAAAACTCAATATGAAACACTTTGCTACTGCTATTGAAAAGTTCGTTTGTCTGAGTAGTTGTGTGACGGCTGGCTGAGAGGTGTGATGGACGACAACCCTAGGCGTATAATGACAGCTGAGGTTGGCATACACCGATTCGACCAACCTATGAATCCACTGAGACGTCAGTTTGCCTGCTCAAGGTCGAGTTTTACAATGCTTCAGTGCATACAGTCCTGGTTTACGCCTGCGAAACCTGGTCGTCTATCTGAACTGAGAATGTGAGGCGACTCCATTTCTTCGAGGAGGACTTTTTCACTTTGAGCATGCATAGGATAATATCGTTTTATTGAACGACAATATACAGGGGTACTCAAATCGCATCCAATCCGTGGTTGATCAGTATGGTATGTGTTTTGCTATACCGAAGTGCAAGGTATCATTGCAAGATTGGCAGGCAATTCTAGGATAATTTTATGTCTACTAATTTCTATACTGAATATTTTTTATAAAAATGTAATTAGATAAGCGCTAAACAGAGCAATTTTAGTGAAGTTTGTGAACGCATGGATAGATGGCCAAATAGGGCAAATACGCAGAAATAATTAGCAAAGACACACGCACACACATAGGTGTGCACACATGTTTACACCGAGGTAGATTTTGTGCTGATGATGATTACAACTAAGCCATCATTCAAAACTCAGTCACCAACAATCTCAAATCACGCCAGACACATCATATAAGTATTTATCATTTGTTCGATTTCAAAGTGAACACAACTGCATTCCAATCTAGTAGCTGAATGGTAACATGCTCGTCTAAGGAGTGAGCTGAAGGTTCTGCGTTAGATCCCCGGTAATGTTATAGTTGTGTACTGGCAAAGGGATTTAAAATAGGACAACAAAGCTAACTGTCCAGTACTGCCGATTGGATGAAACTTTTTTTACAAATAATATATATATTGATCAAATGTTGACGCGAGAATCTAACTTCTGCACTATTACCAACATAAAATAAAACAAAACACCAGAGATTATGTTTGTTTACAACAAACGTATACAATCAAACTAACCACCATGTAACAGGTGAGGGCTTACGGCGAATTGTCATCTGAAGGGGTGACGACTAGTGGTGTCCGTCAGGGATGCCCATTATCCCCATTTCTATTCAACTTCATCATTGATATACTAATGGACTTAACTCTAACTGACTTAAGCAAATCAGGGATTGACTTCCTACCAGGGAATAATCTCGTTGACCTAGAATATGCAGATGATATAGTCCTCCCACCTGGGTGAAGACGCTGACAAAATGCAAAGTCTTCTGAACACCTTGAGCTGAAATCTACGAATGTTTGGCATGCGATTAGCTCCTGGTGTCAAATATAAGATAATTTTACAGGACTGGATTACATTGACTCCTAGCTTAGAAATACAGAGTGATGTTGTGGTTGGCGGAGTGTTGATCACTTTACTTATTTGGGAAGTACCATCAGCCAGTGCCACCGGGTTGGCCGCTGACGAAATCTCAGCATGGATACAGAAGGCTAGTTTCGCATATGCCAGTTAACGCCATCTTTGACTTAGATGTGATATCCGGCTATCGACCGAAATACGTGTGTACACCTCAGCAGTCCACTTTGTCCTCCTTTATGGCTGTGAGCGAGACTTGGAAATTGAGAGTGGAAGACATGAACAGCCTGACTAGCTGTCTTTTATCATAAGTGCCTGCGTTTTATCTCCTCTGTGAAGTGGTATAATAGGGTGAACAATATTGAGGTAAGGCATCGGTCGAGTGCTAGGTAAGGAGGGGAAATCAATCGACGAGGTTGTGAAGTTGCATCAACTGAGATTGCTAGGATATGTGTTACTCATGCCTAGCCATCGCCTTCCTCGACAATGGGCAATGTTAACCGACATAGGATCAGGTTCGTTAAGAGGTAGTGATAGTGGTGGTCAAACTAAAACATGGCCTCATCAGTCAGTCAAATCCACAACAATTGGTCTAAGCCACTTAGGAAGGTGTAGACTTCCTGGTTGGGGTTCTCTGGAGAGTAAACACCAATGGTTGGAAACAATTGGTGACATAGCTCAAAATCGTTCTCAATGGCTCAGATGCATCCACTCCATATGACTACTGATTTCAAATGACACTATATCGTTCTTCGTTATTACTATTCCTTTGTCTCACACCTCTGTTTACTGTCTCTATTATGCATTTCTTCTACTTTCTTGTCTTGCTTTGTGTGCTACAAGGAGGGAGTGTGGCGACTTGAAGTGCCTCACATCGGTGCAAAGTTCTATGTCGAAAACAGACAGACAGGTGATTTGACTCACAACTGCAAAAACTCAGAGAAGTCTTTGAAGTAACTATAGAAGTAAGACAAGGCTGACTACTATCAGAGATGATAGTGGTAGACTGAATTTTAAGGATGATGACATATGTCTAATGTCATACAAATTCGAAGCCTTATAGGTGAATACCAACAAGCTGGCAGAAGAAGCAGCGAAGACAAAACTTTAAGTGAACACGAGGAAAACGGAGGTGATGAAAATACATGGCGACCGGCAACAACAACAACAATAATAATAATAAGCACCAGTCATTATCAAGCAAATAAATTTGAAAGAGGTCGATCGCTTCTTTCACCTATCTAGGAGACATATGCTTTCGACTACAGGCAATCGAAAGGGATGAAGATGTCTGGAAGGCAAGACAGGCCTCCACCACTGTGAAACCAATTTGGATATCTTCTGCATTCCGCAGCATAAAGAACGAAATTCAGATTTTAAACGCCGATGGTGGTAGGTCAGTCAGTTCTTCTAAATAGGTCAGGAACTTGGCGAACGCGTCAAGAAAAGCACTTCCAACGCCCAGCTGCAGACTTTCATCAACAGCTGGCTTCTCTCCATAGTGAAGATGAAACGGCTTGAAAGAATTAGGGAGAGAAAACTTCGGGAACAAACCAACCAAGAACCTACTACTCAACAAATATGTTGAGGAGAATGATGATGGATCGGACACACACTCGGAAGACCGTCAGATGACATCACGCGTTAGCCAGGCTATCGCTCAATTCGGGAACAAGTTGAGCGTGGTTCCAAGGGTGGCATGGAGGAGACCACGTGAGGAGGAGATGAGAGACTGTGAGCAATCGTGGGACCAGCTTAAGAGGGTCGCAGAAAGTAGGAAGAAGTGGAGATGTGCCGTTTAAGCCCTGTGTTTTACTGAGAACCCACTGGAACAACAATAATAATGATTAGTCTATTCACTATGTAAATATGCATGAGGTATAAGAAAAGGATTGATCAGAAACTCCTTTGGAAGCTACAGTTTGAATATATAATTTGAGCAGAGCCAAAAAAAGACAAAAATATGAGCTCATTTTTTTAAAATTTTTTTGAGGATTCTTCTCAACTGGCTACAATATGAACAATACAATAAAAATAAATTACATTAGAGATTTCAACATCGTTTTTTTGAGCCGACAAGGAGTATATATATATATATATATATATATATATATATATATAATACAAGAACTTCTATAATGATGAATATTATATACCTAATGCCAGAAAATGTTTTCAGACTGTTAAAAGTGAACATGACGTGGACATATATATATATATATATATATATATATATATGTCCACGTCATGTTCACTTTTAACAGTCTGAAAACATTTTCTGGCATTAGGTATATAATATTCATCATTATAGAAGTTCTTGTATTTCCCAATGAGCGAAAAACAAAACAATATTGTTTTTACTGACATTTCGATATTTAATGCTAATAGCTTTATCAAAGTATTGTTGAACCAGAATTTTAAAAAATCTCAGTTTATATATATAACTTAATCATCGTACCTCACCATGGGGTAACTTTTACGTCGTCAAGTTAGCCAGTTGGTAACGATAACAAAACCATGTGTGTAGATTGTTAGATTTCATAAGCGTATAAAATTATAAAAGCAGTATGTATCCGATTCTAGTAAACTGAAGATGATATCACGACTTTCGGTAATGGGAATGCCAGTACATAGGGAGTTAATATCATAGCTTACCATAATATTCTTCTTTATCGATTTCCCAGTGTTATATTTTGAATTTGAAACCAAAATGAATTTTTTCTAACATTTCAGTGCCATTCTGCAGTAGTTTCAAAATCGAAAATAAGCATTTGAAGAGGTTGTATGTCAGTGAGTTGGTAAAATCTATTACTGGTCTTAATGGAACTGTGAGTTTATGTATCTTTGGTTGACCGTAGAATCTTGAGGGCACACAAAAATTTTGCTTTTAGTTTAAACCAGAGAGAATTCCCAACTTTCGGTTCTATTTCATGAAGGAGTCTGCTGAATTTGACAGATTTCTTCTTTTCTTCAATAAATAAGTATGGTGCATCAGATAGGTTTTCAATCTCCTTCTACCACAGTGACGTCTCTATTGTCTTTCTTCAAATTTCTTAGGGCCTTATATTCTTGTTTGGTGTCTGTCTGTCTGTTTGTTCTTTGTTGTTTTGTGTGCCTCAGTAGCATATTTATCACTCCTGCCCTGTGACACGGCAGCAGGAAGCACGGTCGTTGTTAATCCGGGCCACGGCCGATCCGGCATGAAATTTTGTGAATTTGTTTGGATCATGATATTGGTTGAGGTAGCTGCTTTTTGTTTAACCGCTATCCAAACAACCTGCCTGGCATGGTAGAACCTAAAGAGACATAAGTCTCAGCCAGTATAGCTTGAATAGATCATTGAGGTGTTCAAGCCCGACCACCACGTCAAGGTAGCAGCTTTCGGTCGGGTCTTGTTTGGTGAGATTAGATGGTATGTTTCGTTGTGTTATTAAGCTATACGCATTAAATAGCGAAACGCCAGTAAAAACAATATTGTTTTCTTTCTCAATCATGGGGAAATACAAGAACTTTTATAATAAAGACAAGGAGTAATTGATAGGAACTATAAGTAACATAAGTCCGGAGTGATGTAATTTGCTAAATTATTTACAGTTAAAAGGATTGACCGTTTATAGGTTCAGGCTGTAGTCAGCTGAGAAGAATCCTCGAAATAATAAAGGATGATCTCATATTATCCTGGTACATTTGTCGTTCTTGCCTTGTTCATGTCTATTATTGGGAAGAATTGTATAAAGTCTTCATATATGATTCGTAGTGATGAAGCAATAAACCACTAATCCACCATTAGAGTCATGAAGACATGTTGCGTTCCATTATGTTACTCATTAAGCGAGATCTTTGAGTTATTTCTTCTTCTACTATCTGGCAGTCGGAAACTTGGTAAATGGAATTGGGTTCGAAACCATGTCCCGGTGATAAGTAGTCGAGAGCCTACAACAGTCAGCCACGACTCCATACTATCTTTTAAGCACTGAAAAGGGATATTGCTCATTGCATATTTAGAATCTATACCAATACGGTTGAAAGGATTCATTGGAGTTTATATACTGCAGATATGAATCCAGATTTTTAAAAAATTTGAGTTGCATCTGGCTTCGTTCTAAGCAGTATCTCAGCTATCGCATAAATCACTGAACAACAGTGCACACTGTGCCGTACTTCATCATCAGTTGTTTTTTCTGTCCCAATTAGTGTTATTTCTATTTTAGGGATGACATCCTTAGGTTTTAGCTTGTCTACCGCTACACTGAAGTTTAGTCCTTTTTCTAATACACTTAGTTCTGTGGAATTTAATATATGTGTTGAGAGATCGATAATCCCCTTTGTTTTATCGATCACCGTTGACTTTCAAATGCTGATTTCATCGTTCTGAGACGAAGATTTCGCCTCTAATAATCTAATGAACTTTTTGCTTTGAGTATTTTTTGACTTTTTGAAAGTTGCTGAGTTGGCATTGCTAGAGGAAATTGTGTTATAAGATCATAATTCACATTGGTAACTATTCCAATTAGCTTTTGCTTCAATTGCTCAATTTCATATCTGATATGGTAAAACTTTTTAACAATTCTGTGGATCTCTTCTTTTAGGCATAATTTTTGTAGACTTTATATTCTGCTTCTAACTCTATCCGTCAGAACTGGAGCTCGTAGACGTGGGTAATTAGGAATGCTTTCATTTTTCAAGCATCGAATGTTGAAAATACGGTGATTTTCATATCTTGCTTCAGTTTGCGAAAGTCGAGTGAGTTTATTGATTAGTCTTCGTACAGGAAGACCATAAGTCATATTAATATATGTGTAAAACCTGGGCGCTGTGGTAGTAAATAATTCCATATTAGTTTGTTTATTAGATGTATCACACAGTGAAACAGTATTATTTACTGGACGATGTTTCTAACAAAAATTTATTGTTCATAATCATATCACTTATGGCATTCAAGCCCAAAAACTCAATTAGAAACAAGCTTTGTCGGTTAAAGGATCCTGTGGAAACTTTGAAACAAAACAATTTAGTCTGTCTAATACCTTGCAATGATTGTTGGGACAAAGTAGTAGAACAGGTGTAGTCAGACTAGCCGAGCATAAAAACCTAGCAAAATCTAGATTAGTTGACCCCAATAAGATAAGAAATCTAGAGAATAGTTCAACCATAGCACTACATGCAATTACGCACAATCATACAATACGATGGGATAAGATGACAGTTTGGAGGGGGAAATTGATAACAGAAGCTTTCTTTGTCCAATAAACTCCAAATACGTGTAATGCGAATGATTCAACACCTGTCACAGATATTTGGAAAAGTCTACTACCCTAAAGACGACAAATAAGAGAGAATAGAGAAAACTATAAAACTCAAGTTTTGAAGTCATGTGATTATGATTATGAACAATAAATTTTGTTCGAAAGGTCATCCAGTAAATAAATACTGTTTCACTGTGTGATATATCTAATAAACAAACTAATATGGAATTACTTACTACCACTGTACTCAAGTGTTACATATAATATATATATATATATATATATATATATATATATATATATATATTAAAGGTTTTACTAAATCGCAGACTTTATCGATCCAATTTTCGACAAGTTTCCCACAAATAATCACCAAATTCAACTTCATATATATGCTAATGAGTAATGCACCAGATATAATGACGAATTCAGGATTATTCTGTATAGCTCCATAACTTGAGGAGTTTTCACATCCGACAGATAGATGATGAAAGTGAAAAACGATTGAATCCTAGTTTCACTAATCTTCTCTGTTTCTTTACACAAACCAAGTCAACTTTGATACGATAATGAGCAATAGATTGCGCTCTAAACATCGTTAGTAATTAATACGGTACACAACTGTGTGCTACTTATAACAACCAAAATCCTTCTCTGTGGTAATTCAACTCTCTACCACATTGCTCAAATTCTATTCTTAAATTCAAAATTGCAAACTTACCTCCATAGCACCAGTGGTTGAAGAACGCCCAGCTGTAATTGATTCCCACCAGAAAACTTGATTAGCCAAGTGTTCAGAGGATTTTTGATTATCAGACAAGCGGTCACAGTTGCATATTGGTTTACGGATAATTAAAATACCATTTGTTTCAGAAAACCGAGAAGATATCACCTCTGGTTTGAAACGATTATAGGGTGCTATTCCACACTTATGCGGCGCTTCAAATGATTTGCAGACATCATTAACTGTGTGCGTGGATTTGTTGGAGGGTATAGGCGATGAGCATTGCAATACTGTTCCCCAATCCATAGTACAACCACTAGATCCACGACTTGAAAAGGTGATTAATAGGAGTAATTGAGCTGATGATATGCGAAATTTATCATTATTTTGATTATTATTATTATTATCGTCCAAGGGATTTGAATGCATACGATCAGTCCAAATTATCCCAACTGAGTCAGCCAGTATATTGCGTACATCTAACAAAATAGTCAAGGATGATGTATCCTGACGAATAAGAACAGGTGCTAAACGCCTAAAAATAATATTGGTAGAAAAAAGAAAAAATTGCACTATGAACACTTTATTTTTAGTAGATGAATAATAAAAAGCCTTTAAAAATTATATTATTCGCTACTTTAATAGGACTGAACAAAAGAAGAATATGTTAAGAAAAACATTAATCCTTCCTTATAAAACAAAAGTCTCCGAAAGTTTATGCATAAGTGGTAAGTTTACACGTCCCTAGAGAATATGAGCATTTCTATGGGAGGTGATGAAGATTCCTGGCCGACAGCAGCAGCAACAACAACAACAGACAACAATCAGCCAGCATAAATTGGAGGAACCTGAAAGAAACAACCTCCTTTGCCTGCCTACCTGGGAAGCATCGTTTCAAATACAGGCGGACGAGACTGATAAGGATATCAAAGCAAGGATCGGGAAAGCAAGACAAGCTTTCATTACTCTTAAGTTTGTGTGGAGATCAACAGCACTCAACATCAAAAATAAAATGCGGATTTTCAACTCCAATGTGAAGTCAGTACTACTTTACGGATCAGAGACTTGGCGCGTAATAAAGAGCACCTCAAACAAACTACAGACCTTCATTAACAGTTGTCTTCGCTCAATACTCAAGATCAAATGGCCAGAAAAGATCAGCAACGGGATAGGATCTCTGTGAACGAACCAGCCCAGCAGGAACCGATTGTGCAACAAATAAGCAGGAAAAAATGGAGGTGTATTGCATTGGCTATACTCTGAGGAAACCATCAAGTAACATCACTAAACAAGCCCTTGAATGGAACCCAAAAGGGAAGCGGCGAGTTGGTCGTACAAGGGTGACTTGGAGGAGGTCATGTGAAGAGGAGATGAAAGCATGTGGGCAGACTTGGAGCCAGGTGAAAACTCTAGCAGAGAACCGAACACAATGGATACGCGCAACTGAAGCCCTCTGTTCCTCTAGGAATTAGAGGAAATAATGAAAATAACAATAATAATAATAATGGGAGGCTAACGATTAAACACCACCACCACCAACAACAACAACAACAACAACGACAAAAAAGCTCAGTATTACGCTTTTCAGAAACTTTGAGACCTTACAGGCTCAAAGACAGAGTGTGAGAAACTCGATATCTGCTGCTTTCATAATAACGTCTCATTAGATGACCTAAATTCTAGACTTTGATTCTGTCAACCCCATGCTGACAAACTAGTACTTGATGTCTTCTCATATTACGAACTATTATAATTCAGCATAAAAATATTGAATATATAGTGCTTTCAAGAGTTAAATAGTAAGGAATTGATTTGTTTCAAGTTTGATTACGGATTGATATCAAGCAGAGAAGCCATTGAAAATCAGGAAGTAACGGAAGGCTGTTTCACCCTACTTTTGAACTAATCATCAGCACACCCACACCGGGCTTTGAATCCAGGTAGCTCGAAGACCATTTAGCCACTTGGACTTGAGTCAGCTGCCATCTTATGAAATTCAACTTCTACCAATTAGTGACTTTAGCGCGGCTGGCACCAGGAAGTACCCTCTGTGGCGAATATCTATCCTCACTCTCGACCGGACGGACCCTGTTGGCTGGGTCTTAGTACCCGAATGGTCTCCGAGCTTACCTTGTCCCCAGAAGCTCCTGGGTTTGGACCTCAGTGTTGATGAGTCCCAAACTAGGGCGAAACAGATTTTCAGTACTTCCTGGTTTTCAATGGTTTACTACTAACTGATATCAGTCCGTGGTAAAACTTGAAATATTTTTTTTAAAAAGGGGCATAATAATAGCAATAATCAGAATAATAATTACCTATCTTCGGATAAAATCATTTCTGAACTTTTAAGTCGCTTTACTTTAACTTCACTGCCACATACAATTGGTGATTTAACGGTTGGCTCTAAGACTTCACTCTTTCCTAAATTCTCAGTTCCCAGGATTGTTTCATGTGAATTTATTAATGATCCTGTAGTTTTATTCACTTCGGTTAAACACTCACCCAGAGCAAACAAAGCAGTCGTGTCAGTGATCGAATATGATGTACCGTTACATGTGGGATTTAGTGTGTTCTCACTAATGTCATTTGAAGATTTTGATTTGTTTCGTCGCTTACGACGTTTACGACGTCTACGTTTCTCAGCTGTATCGTTCATTGCAACACAGTCAGGATTAGAAGTATTTGCAGTAGAATTAGATTCAGCGCCTTTTGAATCCTCTTCTCCTTCTTCTTCTTCATCTTTATAATCAACACCATCATCGCTGTTGTTATCACCACTGCTTTCAACACTATCGATACGTTGGAAAGGACTGAATTCTTTTTGTTTAGTGATAGGAAGTTTGACGCATAGAGTTCGGGTAGACTTGTCAAATCTTGCTGTACCTTCGGCAGCATCCATTTCATAGAGTAATTTTAGGTTAGGCTGACAGTCAATCGGTTTTTCACTCTGTAAATTTATAAAATAAAAATTGAATTTTCTGAAAAAACAAATCAACAGAAATAGCTAGGTGAGATAAGGCACATTAGCAAATTATATTAACCAAACTTCATGTCAGTGATTTGTTCATGTACAGTTTCATAAAGTAGGTCGATTGTTGACGCTGTTGCGCAACATATTAGGGTTTAAACATGTAACCAAGTGGTCCGTATTTAAACGAAAAAAAAAACGACTGATATTAACGTATTGAAGTATAATCAACCGAATAAACAAAGCAATGTAGCATTATGTGATAACTTCTATGTGTGATTATTGGTGCAGAGGTGGTTGGTTGCACCAAACACTTCACCTAATTGCAAAGTCAAAAAGAATCTTGAAGTTCAGATGAGTGAAATTTTTGACATGAATATATAAAATTTCATTAGTGGTATTCTACAGTCTACTATGACTGAGTGAGTCACAACAGAAAACTCTGCACCGAAGTGAAGCACAGTCCGAGTTCCCACACTTCGTGTAGCACGCAAAGGAAGACAAAAGAGAGAGAAAAGGAGATTCAAAAGAACAATAAGAAGCAGAAAAGTGAGGGAGAAAGAGTAGTAACATGGAAAAACAAGAGGGTTTTGTTGAGAACATGGCAGATCACAAAGAGTGAATGCGTTTGCACCGTTGAAAACGGTTTAGCGCCATATCACAGTCTTAAGCCATCTGGTTTGTAGAACTCCGAGGACCCCAACCAGGTAGTCTAGAACGCCCCACGTGCCTTAAACCAAATATCAAAGACTATATGTAGTGATAACTAGTTTTGATTTGACCACCCCTAATTCCTTTCCGATACAAATCTATGTCAGCTGACATTGAGGAAAGCGACGACTTGTCATGCACACCACGTACCTAGGCTATCCCAATCTATTTACCTTTACAACCCCGTCAACTGACTTACCCTCCCCACCTAACATTACGCCTATTCTTGATATTACTCACCATATATTACGCTACTTAATTCGTGAAATAGAATGCAGACATTTGTACTTAAAGACAGTTAGCCTTTCCTTATCTTCAACTTTAAATGGCTATGCCTTGTAGCCATTAAGAAGCATAAAGAGAAATGATTTGTATCATGCATGCCATTCGACCGAAGACCGGATATCACGTCTATGTCAGAGATGACAAGTTAACAAATAATACATGATCCTTTTGTGTAAGTACTGAGATTTCGTCGGCAATCAGTCCATTGCGATTGGTACAATTTCTCAAATAAGTAAAGGGAAAAACACACTACACCAATTCCCTGCACGTCTTTAAACTGGGAGTCGGTGCAGACCTATCTTGCGGCGTTATCTTACATTTAACAGAGGCAAATCGCCTGCTAAACATTCCAAGATTTCTGCTCAGCGTGTTCCGAAGACTCTGTATTTTGCCAACGTTTTTACCAAGGAGGACAATTTCACTTGCATACCTTGAAGTCCACAAGACTTTTTTTCTGGTAACAAATCAATCCCTAAGTCGCTGGACTCAACTAGAATCACATCCTCTTGGTACATCTATGAAGAAATCAAACAAAAATACAGTCAGTGGGCATTCCTAAAGGATACCACTGGTTTTTATTATTTCACATGACAACTCTCCATAAGTTCTTAAACTACCACATGAGTTCGAGTAGAATGGAGTGATTTGATTAGTGAGATGTAATTTCTCGTCACTCTCTCCACAGCAACTCTCGATTGAAGGAGTCTAATGTCGCCTTCAGGTCTTGGGTGCCGGTAAGTGTACCTAAATTCCAGGATTTATCCAAGGGTAGAAATATGATCAATACATCGTGTCGCTGACCTAAAGACTGTCTGATTTCTCAGGACCTGTTTCTCTCCAACACCATTTGGTCTACACATGAGTATCGGAGCTATTCCCCTATGATTATCATAAAAAGACTTGTCTCTCTTCTGATAAACTGGCATACAGTGATTTTCACCAGTCTAATGAAACTATCTTTACTTTTCAGATACTAACTAGTATCTAAGTTAAATCAGACAATGCTTCCACACCATAGTTCTTAAACACCTCTGGTGTCATCTCACCAGATCCTGCTACTTCACCATGTTTCAAATTAGAGACAGAGTTTCCAGTCTCAGTTATAGATGGAAGACATAAGTTTACATCTCATTCAGGTAGGTGTCGTATGCTGGATGAATTTAGAGTGGTTGCAGGTCAGCTAAATTGTTCTTCAAAGTGTTCCCTCCAGCATCGCAGTCGTAGATCCTGACAGGCATTTGAAGTACTGTCTGAATGGTTATCTGGTCCTACCTACCGCCGATGACTTCTCCATCTCTTTTTTTTAATAATAATAATTTCCTTTATTCCAAAACAGTACTTGTGATACAGAATGGAATTCTCAGCATTTTACTACAGACAGTATTGCATCCAGTTAGTACATTATCAACAAACAAATAAAATTCTACATAGATTAAGGGTAATCTCGGTTAGTTTACACAACAATATATTAGCATGTCCGTAGCAAAGCAAAAATTGAACAGTGTTTGAAGGTGTTAGAAAAGTAGATGCTAGCATATTTACTGGCTTAAGCGGTAACAAAACGGTCGAGATATACAGATTGTGAAAGAACGAAGAAGAATGCTTTAAATAGAGTTTGTAAGGAAGAGAGAAACAAAGCAGAGCATTACAACAAAAGAGAGAAAAGGAAAAGAAAGAAAGAAGACGTTGTACCTATAAATGATATGAGTTGGAAAGACGAGATCCAGTTGTTCTACTGGCTCTTGTTACCCACCACTACTTACTGTCGTTGCACAGACTTTCAGTCGACTTCCATTTGAGCATCTTTTACTCTTCATCATTTTGGGAGCCTTACAGAATTAGTCTTTAATCTATGAGTTAGGCTAAACCAGCAGAGATCCAATGTCATCGTCTACAGCTATCTGGGTATTATGCCAGACTTCCTCAGGATAAGTCTTGTTGTGGACTTATTGTGGGTTATCACAAAGCTAAGAGCGTTAACTATATGTTGAATGTATTGCATATTATTGACTTATGTTGTACCACTGGACTAATTATCATTCAGACCTGTCAACCTTATATTTATCAACACTTATCTAAATGTGTATTTGTTGACCGACAGATGTGGTTGACTTTATTACTCCCAGCCCCAACAGCAGAACGTCTTGTACGTTCATATGCCTTTCAGTTGCTCATAAATCTTTAATCCCTATCCTATACGGTTAGTACAGCCAGTTGAAATGCTATTTACACACATGATATAAAAACATTACACATGCTTTCACGGAATTAGGTTCACAGTCATAGAAATTAATTGATGCGAAAAGTAAGTAACAGAGTGATTTTGTCACTGCATAATATAATGTCCCGGTGTTATTTTCAGTATTTAGCAATATACAATTCTTTTTTTTATAGGTACTGTGTATGTTTCCTGAACAAACTTGGTATAGTGTCATCATTCCACCCGTAATTCTATGATGCAATAAATAAGTGTAAGCAGAACACTACAAAGACGTGAATCAGTTCTAGACGTTATAGTTGACGACAAAAACAACACAATAGGAGGTTAAGAAAAGTAGGATAATATTGGAAGATGCATATTACTTGCAACAACAACACTGAATGCCGATGATTTATTTAAAACTTCTCTAGTTATAAAAATATAGCATGCAATCTAGAAAATATTATGTGAAATAAGAGAAATTTGTTGCATAAATAAGAAGATCAAACTGTGTTACGGCAATGCTTTACGCAAACATAAAATATTACTCACAAGAATAGATTAGTTTAACAGATGCTTAATACTGCTTGCTCACCGAGGTCTAGGTACAGTACGAAATTGCAGTATTGGATTCTACTGCTGGCAGCTAACAAAGTATTGAGGTTATGCTTCGGCCGAGTGCTAGGTAAGGAGGGGAGATCAATCGACGAGGTTGTGAAGTTGCATCAACTGAGATTGCTAGGATATGTGTTACTCATGCCTAGCCATCGCCTTCCTCGACAATGGGCAATGTTAACCGACATAGGATCAGGTTCGTTAAGAGGTAGTGGTAGTGGTGGTCAAACTAAGACATAGCCTCATCAGTCAATCAAATCCACAACAGATGGTTTAAACCAATCACGTAGGGAGGTGTAGGCCTCATGGTTGGGGTCCTCGGGATGGTAAGAACCAATGAAGGCTAGAGACAATAGGTGATATGGCTCAAATTCGTTCTCAATGGATGGCGGAGATGCATTCACTCTTTGCAACTTATAATATCCAGTAAAACTATACGGTTTTCCCGTATTCCTGTTCTTTGGCTTCATATCTCTGTTATGCTTCTCTTTTTATTTTATTCTCTTGCCTCGTGTACTAAGTTAAGTGTAGCAACTCAAAATGCTGCACATTGGTGCAAAATTCGACGTTGAAACCGGTCAGTAAGTCATCTACTTTACTCCAGCTTAGTAATCAACCCTGTCCCTAACGATTAGTCTTTCAAATATCGATTTACCACATATGTAAGTGACTTGTGACATGAATATGAAGGCTGTCATGCGAAATCACGGATTCTGAAATATACCTCTGCAGATTACGCTATCAAGCAATATCATGCATATATATATTCTCCCAACAATGATTTATGGCAATCTATATCTGTCATTTAGTTGATGTATGTGGCAGAAAAGTTGGTTTTCCTTATTATATTTAGTGTGGACTTTTCAATGATAGTCGTTCATCTGGTTAACTTTTCCAGATATGATTATTGTCATCAATTTTTCCGCATGTAACCTCAAGAGGTTTTATTCTGCATGAAAGCTGTTAAAAAAAGACATCTCGTCTTTTCTGCAGATGACAGTCTCTAATGAACTTAATCACTATCGTACAGTAAGCTATTTCATCATCACAATGGCAAGTACTGTTAGCATCTGTCTTACACAAGAGATATTTTTACTGACAGAACCTCAAGGATCAGTCGGTCTTAGAAAGTGACATGTGTAAGCCAAGTCAAGTTGGCAAAGTGATTTATATCTCGTTACAAATCACTAAACTGCTACAAACTTTCACATAACTAGGAGAGGTTTCAAACAACTGTTAGGAGTGGCAGCAATACTTTACACTGTCAAAAACAATAATAGGACACTACTTATTTAAACATAAATATAGCACAAAAAATATAGCAAAAAAAAGTCACACACGATTGGACTTTACTTACATTGTCTGGAGATAGACTCAAACAAGGAAACTTAATATTAATTACTAAACAGTCAAGTGGACCAGGAGGATCTGTTCTATCGGAGTCCCTACAAATACTTAAATTAAAACCGGAACAGTAGGTTGTGGTGTGGTCTGGTACAGGAGGGCCGTTTGTTCCATTACATTTGACATTTTCTGGAATTCAAACAGAAAGTATAAAGTGAATTCAAATCATACTAAAATTTTTCAATTTCATTTTTGTAGGTGAGAATTCAGCTACATATATTTATTTTATTTTTTTTATTTTTTGATTACAGCTTGATTCCACACTGTATTTTTGGTACAAGTATGGAATTTTCAGCGTGGATATCGGTAACCCAAATTTCGCAGGCCGACCATAGATATCAGGTGTGCGTCGGCGTGGGCTCGAACCCCGGACCATGTGCATGGTCGGCGAGAGTCCTAACCACTGTGCGTCGGTGGCACAGTGGTTATATATTTATATATACATATAAAAACATAAATATATATATGTTTAGTTTAACATCAGGTAAACACGCGAACCTGAATTATTACTCTACAGAATTAGACCTATCACTCGGAAGAGATGTTACATGTCATAAGTCATGAGACACATATTGTGTGAAGGTTGGTGACACCATCCAATCGGCATGGCTGAAGTGGAAAACGATTCACACGAGGGGTCAACTTTTTATAGGTCAAATTCTAAGATCAACCAATATCTTTCCACCAATGCGATAAGAGTTATTGACTAAGTAGAACTGTGCACATAAATGCAGCAGTTCAAGTGGCCTTACTCCAAAGGCACATAAACGTAGTAAAAGCCTCTAAGGAGCTATAAGGCACGGAAATCCATGAGATAAACAATGAGCATACATAGAATAATGGGAATTTGATGGATAAAGCACTCCCAGGAAGAGTGAATGTACCTTCAACAACGGAAAGGAGTTTCGAACCACATCAAAACGAGTCACCCTGGTAACAGGTCGATCCCTACGTCTCTAGATCCCAATAGAATGACATCCATTTGGTACACCTATGACGAAACCAAACAAAAATGAAGACGTTGAACACCTCTTGTGGATACCACTGGTTGTCGTTACTTCAGATGTCAATTCCATAAGCTCTTAAACTAGTATACGTACCAGTACAGTATTTTAATGAGTGAGATATACTTCCTCCTGACCATTAACGGTCTGCCAGCATAGGACTCCATATATACCTCACCAATTCCGCTCTAGAGTCAGTTAGTAAAACGACCGTATCTGAGCATTTTCCTTTCAACATGAAGCTAGACAGCTTCTCATGGAAATCATCTTTCACTTCCTACACAGTACAGTTGATTGGGATCTAAGTGGAGACTATTATTTATTATTCCATTGGGTTCCAAGTGCAACATAGGCCTTCAACAACATATCTCCACTTTCTTCTATTTTCTGGTATCCTTTTCATCTGAGTATACAATTGCCCGAAATCTCCCATCTCTTCCTCGCACTCCTCCACACCACCCTCGCACCGACGACCCACTCGTCGTTTCCCATTCAAATTCCACTCGAGCACCGGCCCGCATTGCGTGCGATGTCATTCGATGGTCCCCTCAGTGACATATGTCCGATCAATCCATCTCCATTTTCTCCTATATATTTGTTGAGCGATCGTCTCTCGCCTGTTGGTTTGTTCCCAGCCACAGTTTATTGTTAATAATTCTTTCTGGCCGGCCGACCGGCCATTTGATCTTCAGTATGCAGCCAGCCAGCCAGTCAGCCAGCGAAGTGTGCAGCTGTTGATGGAAGTCTGCAGTGGCCTGTTGGAAATCCTTTCCGCTACATGAAGTGCAGTGCAAGTTTCTCACCCGTATAGAAGAACTGAGTGAATTCACATTCGTGTTGAAAATCCGAAATTTGTTGCTTATGATGAGTTAGTGGAGAAGATTTCCGAACTGGTTTCAGGTTGATGAAGGCGTTCGTATCTTGCTTCTCTTTCCGATTCTGTTTGGCTGGCTGACTGGCTGGCTGGCTGGCTTTGACATCTTCATCCATACCGACTGCCTGTAGTTGAGGTGACGCTTCCTAGCCAGATAAGTGAAGGAGGCAACCTCAGTCAAATCTCTCCCGTAGATGGTGATTGGTGCTGGTTGTTGTTGTTGTTATTTGTGCTGGCTGGTTATCTCCATCACATTCGTCTTCTTTATGCTCACCTGGATGGTGTCTTGTCTTCGCTGGCTGCTTCCTCAGTGCGTTTGTTGCCAGTTTTCGTCAGCCTTCAAGTCTTCGAGTTTGTATGATATTAGACATATCACCCATACGTGAAAACCAGGTCTTTTAGAGTCTCCTTATCGTCGGTCCAGTTTATTCCTCTCTCCTCGCTCCCAACCACAATTAAGAATGTCATCGGTGATAGTTAGCAGCCTTGTCTTACTTTTGTACGTACTTCGAATGCCTGGATGAGTTTTCCCTAGTGGATCACCTGACACGTGCTGTTGTCATATAGATAATAGAGACACCTAAATCGAAATCTTTTCTTCTACTCAAGAATCGGATCAGCCGGACGGCGCACACTAGCCTATTTACTGCAATTCAGTTAGGTAGGGTTTTTCCCCACCTAACACTAAATGACTGTCCAACCCCAGAGATTCCTCTTGAGCCAGCCAAAGAACCCTTTGATGCTCGTAAAAGGAATTTCGCGGATTCACCATGTTCCTGAAGTGCGTTTAGTGAATAACCATAAGGAGGTTTTAAATGCGTGTCTCCGAAACACCCAAAAACGTGGCTCAACATGCTACAGTTTTAGTTAATGACGCACGTTGTCCGATACAGTAAAGTGTAGTGACACTGAACGCGTCAGAATGAAGTTGGCAGAGTGGCATGAAGAGACTGTCCGTAACGTCCTCCTGCTTCTCATTTCTACTAGTGTTTACAGGGTCAAACAGGCTGGAGGGTCTAACTGTGGACTAGTAGACAGTGGAAGGAAACATGGTGGGTGATAATCGGGAAGGCTTTATATGCTTCAGGAGGTGCGTGAGCAACTTCCCAGCTTCTCAGAATACCTCAGACAGGAAGAGCATTGGTGACTCGTGACCGCAGAGCTCATGGGACATCTGCTTGTTTGAAGTGACCTTTGGGTTTATGCCCATACTAAGAGCTTGTCGTAAACTACAGTTTGCTACAAGGTAAATCGGAGTGTTCCAGGGCCGACATCTTTCAACCCCACCCCTCCACAATGAGGAGGGACAGCAGGGGTGACTCGCTGGTCACTTGAAGGAAACACAACCGCTACTACATACCTATTCGTCCGCTCAACGATTTCACCATCGCGCACTCAACTTAAAGACCGCGAGTGATGGTGACAACTTCTTTTACTCCAGCTCATAGCGAACGATCATTTTTGCAAAGTAGGACCACTGAAATCGTTTGTCCCAGCCACTGTAGCTGTTCGGATAATTGCGTTATGCATATCCAACCACGACGTCAAGTCAGCAGCTAGTGATCAGGTTTAGAGTTAAAATTATAACGAAAAAGTCTGTACTATACACATAAGTTCGCTAAAAACAGTGCGATTCGCGAAACTAAAATCTAGTTGAATAAAATAGGCATAGAGACTCTGTTCGATTTGTCTACTGAGACAATGAAATATTTCCAATCAAAAATATAGCCTAGGAGACCCCTGTGTTTCGAGGCTCCACCAAACCTGAAACGTGAGGCACCTGTGTAGTTCTTAGCCGCTTTTTAATATGTTCAAAAGTAGATTCTCGGGTGTAATTCATAGATGCCCAATACCTAACTCGAGTTAGGATCTTTTAAGGTGTTAGGAAAAGTACGAAATATACCCAGGGAACTTACTTTCAATCTTGTCTATTGGTTCACTTGATTTATCAACATTCCCACTAGGTAGGTCGGTGCACAGACTTATTATAGCTTGTTTCTGCTGTACAGCATTACTGAATTCCCCTGTATACATTCTTGGACTGTGACTAACCCATACAATATGAAATAGACCACATACTTTTTCTTGTTAACAGAGTCAGACACCTCTCTTTCACCTTCTGTGAATGGTCTGGCCTGTTTTGTTCGTAAATCCATGCTATCTGGACCGCCAGAATCGAGTATGTGCCAAAACAAACAACCTTGACAACTAACCACCAGCTACTAAGACAAACAAATACAACAGAAGTAAAAATTTATTAAAAATTTATGTCGATCACAAGAGTGAATATTTAGTCTTACTCATTTTATTTATAACATTTAAAAGCTTCATTTTTGTTCACAAATGACAGTATTTTATGTTCGTTGTATTGGTTGTTTACATAGATCACAAGTTTGGAGAGCAATTTAATAGGAGTGCCATCGTTTTTCCATAGACTCATCAGGTCAGAATTTTCACCAAGCAATTCATATGGGTTTTCACAGTGACTGCTTTGCTTTGTTAACCTCGTTTCGACTTTGTAATGGAAGGAAGGTGCGTCGGTTCCGTAGCAGTTAGGACGCTCGCCGACCATGCACATGGTCCGAGGTTCGATACCCGGCCAGCGTACTTCTTTAACTCGCTAGACCAGAAATAATACTGGTAAAGAGGAAAGGTTGGGCATGAGGCTAGCAACCCCATCCTGTAAAATAAACACTGCTACAGAAACTTCAAGCCACTAGCTTGAAGCCCTATGTTCCACTGGGGAAGGTGAAGGAGATTAAAAAAATGGATGGAAAGGTTTAAGTCAACCATATGAAAGATGACACAAACTCACACCACAGCATATTTTTGGCTTTGAATGCATTTCTTCAGGTGGCTGTTAATAAAGGATATTGTTCGAAAACCTAAAAGAATGATGTGGATTATAGGTTTCCAGACCGTAGGTGTTACGAATTTCCTGGAATAATTTGAGCGCCGAGTCAGATTGATTCATTATAAATCATTTAATCTTGTTTTGATTTTCTTAACACGCTGGGATTAATTTAAATAATTTATAATGAATGATGTGGATTGTCAGTAATAAGGCATCAGTTATATTAATATTGGTCCTCTACAGCCACTAAATTTTAGTCCGTCATACTTTACTCTGCAATACAACAAGTTAGATTTTGGAAACGCGAATATAGAGGGCCTTAAAATGGTGTTGAAAAAAGTGTTATTAAAACACGTAAAATAAACAACTAACGGCTGTAAGGTTTTCATCCTGATAGAGATATATAGATATTAGGCAGAAGCAAACTTGCTGAAACACTAGTTTCTCAGAGCTATAACATCATTTTCTTGACAATGCAGAAGAAATAATCTTTAACGTTACTCAAATTATATTAAGACATCAAAATAGTCCTCCTATTCCGTTCTGATATGTTATTTTATGAACTTCTAATAGATATAGCCATGGCCCCTCAGGTTAACCAGATAATCTACCCAGAAAAGTTTGACAGATAAAGCTCTTGTGAAAACATGGTTTGTTGGCTAATTCTTGTTTGTTCCAGTTTTATGCAACCGCTTAAATTATTTACAGGTAATACTTAATGGCCCACTAATGTGTTAATGCAACTCCATATCTATATGATATCCCTACTTGATGGATCCGGTACTTGACGTCTATTTTGTACTACAAGTACTGGTGTGAGGTAAAAGAATTTCGTGAATTCGAGATGAAAACAGAGATACGAGCGAAAATGACTTTCTTTCTGACAATATTCACAGTGCATTCCATTCGCTTAAACGCTCAATATTACTGCATCAGCACTGAAAGAGTGTGATTGTAGTCAGTCAAAATTGTCTGACAATAAATTCGAATATGTGGTAGCCATTTTAGAGGTTGACGGATATTAAAGGTTTGACGTGATATCTCGTTCAACAACTTCTAATTAATTTATTCTCGCGTACCGAAGACAAAGCAAAAGCCAACAATTGATCGTCCGAACCAAGATATATATTTAGTAACCAAAACCAGCCGTTAGACCAACGCTTAGCTAGCTAGTGATCGTGCACGTTACACGACGGGGTACCAAATGGCGGGGATGCTTGACCGGAAGCCTTCAGCTAAACAAGTCGACTTAAACAGTGGTGGTCAGTATCCAATGCGTGATTGCTGTGGTCAATAATTTTGGGGAATTATTTACCGCTACACCATCTTAAAGTAAAAGAGCCAGGCACCACTCAAGAAGCTCACTTACGTAACTCTAATGGTGGCTTCAAAGGTAGAAAACAGTAGCATTTGTAACACAGTTGCTTATTTGACAAAATGACGTGTGGTAGTAGCGAAATACTACAACTCGATTCGAAAAATTATTCCCACTACTTGTCTTCACATTATGCTTTGAAAATCGATTTAGGACAATTTTCATTTTTCCACATAGATATTGAGTTCATCTCTCTTCTATTCATGATTATCAGAATACATCACCAATAAGTTACCGAGTGCATTTATCTTTTGGGGGCATGAAATGGACGTATCCATGTGTTCTGACAGTTCCTCGTAGTGACCATTAATGCACCCTAAATAATAATTTATTTGGAATAAATGGGTGCGTCAGCCAACTCTCAGAAACTGTCAATGTCCAGCCCTCACTACGCTGGACCTCACGCTATCCGTGGAAGACTTTCAGAAACACATTGTATTAACCAACGCGAAAACCAGAACACAGATTGGCGACTCGAGAATCCTTTATTCTTACGCCAACATGTAACCAACAATAAGGTTATTATACACAAGGTCTGTGAATAAATGTTATAACAATAAATCACGATAATACTTCTGATAGTTTTCTGTCTTCCATCGGACAGCGAACGATGAGACGATGACTGCTGGCTTGATGACTTTCGCGAAAAATATGAAGGAGTTGGGTTTGAGCGAACAACCATGAATAGATCGTTCAATCTTCAACTGCATTGACACGTTGTTTTCAAGAAATGCATGTGATTTGTACAGGCATGATCAGTTTTGTTATAAATTTCAATCGTGAAGTATCATAAATTAGCAATTTGCATAGGTTTAAATTGTTCGATTATTGTACAAGCATTCTGAACAGTTTCTCCTTCATTTTAAATTGCACAGACTTCACGGTCGCCATCAAAGTTGTTGTGTTTCTCATCAAAAGCAACCGGCTAGCGCTACATATGTACGAAGAGTACGTTTAAGCCTTAATAAAGGCTCAAATAGTTAAAATAAAATACAGTGTGATAGTGCGTAAATAAAACGATTATCATGAGGCGGATACGTCGTATTTCAGTAAGAAGTTAATTCGAAGATCTGGAAGATCAGAATCTCGTAGGACAAACTGACTTGCACGAACTGTCACAAATTTCTGTAGGTCCCATGGGGTGTCATTTTGAAAAGAAGTTTAACAGGCTGTTAAATAGTAGGAGGCGAGAAACTTTTATGATTTAGATCTCTACAACCCTTATTTTTCTTTTTCTGTTGAGGATCTGTACTAATTTTTAATACTCGAGCTGTCAAAAAATACATGCGGCTGTCCTACAGATCGGATCGATTCACATTTGTGATGACAACCATATGTTCTGATCAACATGCGCCTAAGAAAAAAGTAAGAAGAATGTTAGTCTGGAGCCGATTCAAATTTGAATTTTTACAAATCAAGTAATGAGAAAGTATAAGAATACACAGCCAGCAAATCACCCATCCATGGCTCTGTCGTTACTTCAGAAACAAACTGTCTGCAACATCTTCACTGATCACATGAATTCAAACTAAAAAGTGACATGTGAATTCGAGAAGTCTGATAGTTGTTGGAATTCATCAAGAGGAGTGAGAAAATAATTTAGCTCTGGAAGTAAGTGATAGTTTTGTTCCATCTTTACTTTTATTTTTTATTTTTGATTACAGCTTGATTCCACGCCGTAATTTTTGGTACAGGTATGGGGTCTTCAGCATGTGAAATCGGTAGCCCAAATTTTGCAGGCCAACTATAGATGTCAGGAGTGCGTCTGCAGGGGATCGAACCCCGGACCATGTGCATGGTCGACGAGAGTCCTAACTGATGTGTCACCGACGCACATTAAACAATCTTCTGAACACATACTTCAATTTCAAGTCATCTTTTGAAACCTCCCGCGAGTTTATTAGTCAGCCCTCCCGTAACCTAGAACGTAACTGGTTGTTTTTCTGTATTTTCTCACTCTCAAGTCTACTTGTATTAGTATTAACTGTCTCTTTGAACTGAAGCTCGACCTTTTGTTCATATGGTTTCAATTTTTATGGATTGGTTGATGTTGTCTTTGTCAATGTGCCTGTTGATTTTCGAGTCACCTGAACAGAGGGCTTCTAGAAATTTAGTGGCAGTTTTGGCGTTTTTTCTGTTTAAGATTTGAGTCTTTTGGTTGTCATAAAAACTAAGTGGAGCAATTTCGTCGGTTTGTTGAGGACCTCAGTCCCCAAAGGTATGAGTAGTCTTGCAGTGATTTCGTAGATGTTCATTATAAACGGTCGATCGCTTATTTGCTCTTTCATTGGGAGCTATTGTTTTGCGTTGAGGGCAGTTGTATACAGGGGAGGTTTCGTAGATGTTCATCTATTGAGAGACGGCCACAAGATATTCCTCCTCCTTTTTCCCCAAAGCAGAAGTACTACAATGCCCCTGGCTCTCTTGAATATTACTTGTGTAGAAATCAATTTGCGTACTCTTAGTTTTCTGCTGTTGTAGTAGTGTATGTAGGTAACTGATGCTTTTTAATGATGGAAACGTACACAAAACATAGTAATCAGCTCCTAAACGTAGATATTTATCATTTATGCAGTACCATACATACATATGGTACATACATACATATGCAGCTTGTAACATACATTTTAAAACATCACATATAACAACTTTGATGGTTGCAAAAACTCTGAATATATAATACGAAAACCACTGTTTGCACATCAGGGTTTTTAACACCAGAGAGATTCATACTTACGCAAAGTACATTTTTTCCTGTGAACTTGTGAAGTACACCCATACCACTGCCTGTAAATTACGAATGTAATATTTGACTCTATTACTTGTTCATTTTATGAGGCCTGCGTGGTTTTGCGCGAGACAGTGAAGCATACAATAGCGTGTGTGCCGTCTTTGAGCATCGAATCCAACAACATCTGCTTGCTGTGGACATGAACTGGAGTTGACTGAATGTTACTCATAAAGCGTATCAGATTCTGAGCT